AGTCTCACCTGTCTACCTGCTGTCAGTCTGACAGATCTAGTCTCACCTGTCTACCTGCTGTCAGTCTGACAGATCTAATCTCACCTGTCTACCTGCTGGCAGTCAGACAGATCTACAGTCTCACCTGTCTACCTGCTGTAAGTCAGACAGATCTACAGTCTCACCTGTCTACCTGCTGTCAGTCTGACAGATCTACAGTCTCACCCGTCTACCTGCTGTCAGTCTGACAGATCTACAGTCTCACCTGTCTACCTGCTGTCAGTCTGACAGATCTAGTCTCACCTGTCTACCTGCTGTCAGTCTGACAGATCTAGTCTCACCTGTCTACCTGCTGTCAGTCTGACTGACAGCAGGTAGACAGGAAACAAAGCTTCAGGAAAGTACTCTGCCGTACCTTCGAGTCAGTTTGGCAGTGAATTTGGAGAACAGGTTGGTGGAGCCTCTCGACCGTGACTGGGTGAGGGGCGTGGCGTCATGAGACAGGCTTGGGGAGGCCGGGGGTCCGTTGTAGGTGGCAGTGCGCCTTTCTCTGAGCTGTCCGCCATGGAAGGTGCTACGGCTCGCCGTTCCTCGAGGAAACCGAAGCCGGTCGGGAGGCGTGGCTCCACTGCTGACGCTGTGGGTGGAGGTTCCACCCACGGAGCGCTGGGTGGGTGTGGTCAATGAGCTAAGGGGAGAGAGACAGGGGAGTTGCACGTCTGTGGCTCAGAGGGTGATGCAGATCAGCTAACGGACTCTACCTGTTCTCCTTGCCGTTGTGGACCGATGCTGTCCGATCTGTGGAGCTCCGCTCGTTGCAGACGTACGTATTCCTCCTCGTCATGCTGGATGAGGACGTCTGCAACACAGAGACAGGCTGTGATTGGCTGCAGGAAGCCCCACCCACCCCTCTAAGTCCTTCCCGTTTGCCTGACAGGTACTCACAGGGGGCGTGGCTGATATCTTCCTGCGCTCAGGGATGTCACTCTTGTTGGGGTTGTTAGCGTTGCCAAGCAGCGGACTGCCGGCCTCAACTGGACTGGACTTTTTATTCTGACCTCCCCCCTCGTGCTTGGACTCCCCGTCTCCAGCAGCTTGTCTTCTTGGGGGGTGAGCGGTCGAGGAAACGGGACACACTGAGGAGCAGAGGAGGTTAGTTTCTCAGGTGTGGTCTCTCGAACTGATAGAAGTGGTTCTGGTGCGTACCTTGATCGCTGTACCTCCTCTGTTTGGAGGTGGAGGAAGAGGAGGAGGAGGTACGCTGGTTGAGGAGGTGAGCAGGAGACTGGCTGCTGCTGCTGGAAGGACGAGGTTTCAACAGGGAGGATGCGTCGCCCGCCTCCATCTGAATAACACACACAGAAGGTTATCATCTACAGAGGGTCTGTGGGCTTCACCTGCAGTTACCATGGTAACCCCTCACCTCAGCAGTCCTTCGCCCGAGCAGCAGGTAGGTGGCGGTGATGTCATTGTACTTCATCTTGGAGAGGGAATCATTGAGCTTCTCTCTGGAGTAACCCATCTGCACCATCAAGTCTACGCACAAAGACATCAATCAAAACACACATCAGGCAGTCTGTGCGTGTTTGTGCACGTGTGTGTGTGCATTACCAATCCTGTTATGGTCTCTGATGTCCAGCTCTGGTTCCAAGTATGGCTCCAGCTGCTCTTCATCTCCACCATTGATCCAGCGATCCCTCATGATTTGCTGAGGAGGAAACAGAGGTTAGAAATAATGTTCCACAAACATTCAGACTAAATAAAAAAACTCTTAGACCAAACGGTTCTACAGGATTCTTGAAAAACTGACTAAGAAGTTTTCTGGGTGAATCAGTCACAAGTGGACGTAACTAATAAACTGCGTGAACACCACCAGGACGAACTGAAGATGCTCATCCAGTCACTATGGACACATCCTGCGCTGATCTGGGACACTTGTCCACTTTCTTTTGGTAATTTAATCCAAATCCTGACACGAGGTGCTGACCCACCTGAGGATATTGTTGAGTCATGGAAGGTGCACTTTGAGGATCTCCTTCATCCACCCACCATGTCCACCCTTCAGGAGGCAGAGTCTGAGGACTTGAGGGAAGACGAGTCCGTTACCATGGCAGAGGCCACAGAGGTAGTCAAACAGCTCCTCGGTGTCAGGGGTGGACGAGATCCGTCCTGAGATGCTGAAGGCTCTGGATGTTGTGGGGCAGTCATGGTTGACATGTCTCCTAAGTGTCTCATTGAGGACTGGGACAACGCCAGTGGAGTGGCAGACTGGGGTGGTGGTTCCCATTTTTAACAAGGGGGACCAGAGAGTGTTTCCAGTTATCCAGGAGAGCAGTGTGACTTTGGTCCTGGACCAGTGGATCAGATCTTCACCCTTGTGGAGTTGCTAAGGGGGTCATGGGAGTTTGCCTCTCCAGTCTACATGTGTTATGTGGACCTGCAGAAGGCTTATGACCGTTCTTTGAGGCGTTCTGTTGGGGGTGCTGCAGGAGTACGGGGTTCCTGGGTTGATTTTAAGAGCCATCTAGTCCCTGCAGAACCAAAGCAGGAGCTGTGGCCACATTCTTGGCACAAAGTCAAGCTTCTTCTCAGTGTGGGTTGGACTCCACCATGGTTGACCCTCGTCTCCAACCGTGTTTGTGGTCTTCATGGACGCTCTCTGGAGACATAGTCATGGAGAAGAAGGTGTCTGGTTTGGGAACCTCAGGGCTTCATCTTTGGTTTATGCAGATGATGTGGTTCTGTTGGCGTCTTCAGGCCAAGACCTTCAGAATGCACTGGGGCAGTTCACAGCAGGGTGTGAAGCGGCCGGGATGAGCGTAAGCTCCTCAAAGTCTGAGACCATGGTTCTGGACCGGAAATGGTTGGAATGCTCCCTCCTGGTTGGGGGAGAGTGTCTGCCTCTGGGGGAGGAGTTCATGTATCTGGGCATCTTGTTCATGATTGATGGAAGGATGGAGAGGGAGATGGCTCAATGGATTGGGGCCTCGTCCTCAGTAATGAGGGCATTGCTTCTGTCTGTCGTGGTGAAGAGAGAGTCGAGTTGAAAGGCAAAGCTCTGGAGTTACTGGTCTGTCTATGTTCCAACCCTCACCTGTGGTCATGAGGCTTGGATCATGACCGAAAGAACAAGATCCCGGATGCAAGCAGCCGAAATGGGCTTCCTTCGCAGGGTGGCCAAACTCGGGCTGAGAGGTGAGGAGCTCTGTCATCTGGGGGGAGCTCGGAGTAGATCCGCTGCTACTCCACATTGAAAGGAGTCAGTTGAGGTGGTTCAGGCATCTGATTAGGATGCCGTCTGGAAGCCTCCCTCAGAAGTTTTAAAGATACATCCCATTGGTAGGAGGCCCTGGGGAAGACCCAGAAGTCACTGGAGGGATGGTGCATCTTCTCTGCCTGGGAACGCCTCGGGTAATGAGCTCAAAAGTGTTGCTGGGTACAGGAAGTCTGGGTTTCTCTCCTGGACCTGTTGCTTCCGTGACCCAATTATGGATAAGTGGTAGAAGATGGATGGATGAATCCAAATCCATTTTTAAAAACCTTTAAGGACCACCTACGGTGGGCGGCTGTGGCTGAGTGGTTAGAGCAGTCGTCCTCCAATGCAAGAGTTGGGGGTTTGATTCCACCAGCAGTCACATGCCGAAGTGTCTCTGGGCAAGACACTGAACCCCTCATAGCCTCCGATGTGTGTCCCATCGGTGTATGAATGTGATAAAGCTCTGATTATTCTTTGTAGAGATCTAGTATAGAGCTGTATGAATGAATGAATGAGGCAGATTGTTGTACAGAGCTTTGAGTGTCTTGATAAGATAGAAAGGAGTTATATAAATACAGTTATTTATCATTTACCTACTTATCTGATGTTCCCCACAAGTAGTGGTGGGGAACATCAGGGAGCTGCCTGCTCCTTAAAACGATTAAGCATAAATCTATAGTAATACTGAAAGAACTTATAGATTTTTATCACCAAAAGTTTTAATAAACAGAACTCGTTAATGAAAAAAACTCATTTAGTTTAAGATGGTTTGAGACAAGTTTTAGACATCTGCAACAAACTTTAACTATTTTAAGAGAAAATTTGTGCAACAAATTTGAACAACTTCTTTCAAAATTCAATCAATAAGACCTCGAACTTCTGTGACCCACAAGAGAAACCGAGAACACTCGCAAACATTCTGAGACATTTTGGAGACTCTTATAGGATTAGGGTTAGGATTAGCTAACGAGACTTTCCAGCTGCAGCCCAGTGAGGTGCCGAGTTCACCAGTGAAGTTTTGTAGAAAAAGTTTCTGGGGTCTGGAAATCTTCTCAGAAACCAACAAACCTTTATTGACCGTCTCTCTGGTTGTGCCGACGCCCAGAGAAGAACACTGAGGAGACGTACCGGCCAGCTGGCAGATGAGCAACAGCGATATAATCCCTGCACTGAATACAGGCTCAGTCAACGCTTCATTGTGGTTTGTTCACCAGTTCCTGCAATAATGTTGTTTATTCAACCGACCGTCACACTTTATTCTCTAAATGTGACGTTTTTTTTCAAACTTTTCAGCTTCTGACCAACAAAACAACTTGTGACCTTGACTGTCCTTGGCTGAAGAACACATTTTATTTATAAGTCCTTGAAACAGTTTAATTTGACACAAACAGGCTCAACACCCATTTTACTATTTTATGCTACAACTATCCTGTTAGAAATGCAATTTTAATACATATCATTTCTATAGATCTTAACCCCCACCTACTTGTTTATTGGGGGTTCTGAAACTGATTTTTGGAACGACTCACCGTAAAGTTATTTTATAGAACATTAAATAAATAAAGGGAACAACAAAACAACTCCAAACCAGTCACACCTTTGTGGAATCAACTGTTTGGTAGTAACTTATTGTGAATCAGTTTCAGCTGCTGCTGTGCAAATGAAACAACAGCTGGAATGAGAGGCAGTTATCAAGACGACCTCTATGAACGAGTGATTCTGCAGGTGGTGACCACGGGTCATTCCTCTGTTCTCGTCCTTTCTGGTTGAACTTTTAGTTACGTTTTCATTTTGTCAGTGCTGTCACACATGGAGGCATCATGAGGAGTTTTTTACAGCCCACTGAAGTTGCTCAAGTAGTGCAGCTAATCCAAGATGGAACATCAATGTGAGCGGTGGCAAGAAGATCTGCCGTGTCTCTCAGCACAGTGTCCAGAGCATAGGAGACAGACCAGTACACCAGGAGGCATGGAGGGGGCCGTAGGACATCTACAACCCAGCAGCAGGACCGCCACCTCGTCCTTTGTGCGAGGAGGAACAGGAGGTCCACTGCCAGGGCCCTACAGAATGACCTCCAGCAGGCCACTCATGTGCATGTTTCCACTCAAACTGTCAGAAACAGACTCCGTGAGGGTGGTATGAGGCCCGACGTCCACATATAGGACCTGTGCTTACAGCCCAACACCGTGCAGGACGACTGGCGTTTGATAGGGAACATTAAAATTGGCAGATTCGTCATGGCACCTTGTGCTCTTCACGGATGAAAGCAGGTTCACACTGAGCACATGGGACAGACGTGACGGAGTCTGGAGACACCATGGAGAACCTGCAACATCCTCCAGCATGACCGGTTTGGTGGTGGGTCGGTCATGATGTGGGGAGGCATTTCTTTGGATGGATGCACAGCCCTCCATGTGCTAGCCAGAGGTGCCCTGACTGCCATAAGGACCGGGATGAGATCCTCAGACCATATGCTGGTGCAGTGGGTCCTGGGTTCCTTCTTATACATGACACTGCTAGGCCTCATGTGTGAAGTGTGTCAGCAGTTCCTGCATGATGAGGGCGTTGATGTTATGGACTGGTCTGCCCGTTCCCCAGACCTGAATCCAATTGAGCACATCTGGAACATCATGTTTCAGTCGATCCACCAAGACCACATGGCACCACAGACTGTTCAGGAACTAAGTGATGCTCTGATCCAGGTGTGGGAAGAGATCCCTCAGGAGAACATCTGCCGTCTCATCAGGAGCATGCCCAGGCGTTGATGGGAGGTTCTACAGACACGTGGAGTCCACACACACTGAGCCCCATTTAGACTCGTCTTGACGAATATTCACTGACGTAGAATCGGCCTGTCGTGTTATTTTCCACTTTCATATTGAGCATGAATCCAGATCTCCATGGTGTAATAATTTTGATTTGCATTGATAATTTTACGTTATTTTCTTCTCAATTAATTCCACTGTGCTAATAATAAAGTTTGTCAATGAGAATATTTAATTAATTGAGGTCTAGGATGTTATTGTAGTGTTCCCTTTAATTTTGTGAGCAGTGTACAGATATACTTATATAGATGCTGATATGGTAAAGTAACAGTAACGTTCAGTGATTTGCAGATGACATGATGCTGCTGTGTCTACGTTCTCACCTCCAGGGTTCCTCTCTTCCCCGGGTTCAGCACCAGGAAGCGTTTCAACAGGTTCTCGCAGTCAGTCGACATGTAAAAGGGGATCCGGTACTTTCCTCGCAGCACGCGCTCTCTGAGCTCCTGCAGATAAAAACACAGAGGTTAAAGTTGATGCTGAAGAACCTCAGTGATTTTTGAAGAAGTCATCAAACTTCCTGTTACCTCCTGTCTTTGTGTTTATATTGGTGAGCATAAAAAATGTAAAGCTGAGCAGAAATCAGGTCTTTAAATGTCCGTAAACCTGCAGTGTGGGACTCACCTTTAGGTTCTGTCCATCAAACGGCAAAGAGCCGCTGACCAGAGTGTAGAGGATCACTCCCAGACTCCACACGTCCACCTCCGGTCCATCATACTTCTTACCCTAAACACACACATTACAGTTTGTGCAGTTTCCCCTCCAACAACTTGAGTCTACCTTCAACTAAACAAGTGAAAGGTGGACAACCACCATCAGCCAATCAGAAAAACAGGAACAAGTCCACTAAAACCACTGATTCATCACATTGAGTGGATACTTTCATTTTCCTGCCCAGCTGACAGGAAACATTTCAGTCTAAATCCAAACAAAGCAACACGAAGAAACCTCTGGAATAAAACTAAAACTAAACTATTTACATCGTAGAACGGTGACATCATCCAGTTCAGGATATTTACCTGGAAGAGTTCTGGAGCAGCGTAAGGAGGAGAACCACAGAAAGTGTCCAGCTTCCCACCGACCGTGAACTCGTTACTGAAGCCGAAATCTGCTATTTTAATGTTCATGTCGGCGTCCAGGAGGAGGTTCTCCGCCTGCCGGAGCAAGAGGAGCAAGAGTGAATCCAGCTGCAGGACGTTTACACACCGAGGTGTCCTGAACAAATGATTATTGATCAGCTTTGATTCAGACGGTCATCTTTGTATCCTTCAGAAGATTGAATCTACTGGAGTAACTTTAGAAACGAAAAGCTATCAATGGTTTAAGACTCGGTTATTCAGGATTGTAGCTCTGATGGTCTCTCCAGTGCAGGTGTCAAAATCCAGCTCTAATGCTCCTGAGAAGAGTTGTAGATGCCCACAAAACAATTCAGGTGGGCCTGAGACGCCCACAATCACTGTGATTTTTCCAGAGTTTGCATGTGTCAAGAACTGCAACAGGTCTGTGCACCTGTGCCCAGTTAGACATCTGCTCCCTGAAAGAGTTTCATGTCCACAAAGTGTTCCAGGCACCAGGGAACGAGCGTTACCTTGAGGTCCCGGTGAACGATGTGCTTCTGGTGGCAGTACTGGACTGCAGAGACAATCTGTTGGGACACAAACACACAGAGAAGAATGAGGTTAGGAGGCTCTGCAGAGAATGAACCAGCAGCAGACTGAAACACCTGAACCGCACCTGTTTGACTTCTATATTATGGGATGCATTTATCACTATGGTGACAGCTGCACGAGAGCGTTACCTGTCTAAACTTAGCTCTGGCCTCCTTCTCCTTCATCCTCCCGTGAGCTACGAGGTAGTCGAACACCTCACCTGAACACACAAAGGATTGAGGGTCACGTGATCAAGCTGGTCTGGTCTTTGTCCGTGTGCGTACATCGTGTGTGTGTGTGTGCGTGCACAGGTGACTGACCTCCACTGGCATACTCCATCACCAGGTAAAGAGTCTTCTCTGTCTCGATCACCTCAAACAGCTTCACTGCACACACAGGTGAGACATGAACCACCTTAGGTTTTTATTAAAACATAAATCAGACGACACAAATCCAGAAACTGAGCAAAAGGAAAAACAACGGTTTCCAACACGGTGCTCCGTGTCTCAACAGGACCTGCCGAGTGAATCGGTCTGACAGGAGGAACTGACTGATTAAAGCCAGCAGGTGAGGTGTCCAGACATTTGACCCTCGGTGGCTCTGAGGTCAGCAGAACTCACCGATGTTGGGGTGATTAAGGATCTTCATGATTCGGACCTCTCTGAAGAGCTGAGGCACCAAAACAGCAGAACGTTAGTCTGATGTGGACAGTTCTGGTTCTGATTGGATCAGGGCTGAACATCATCTCACCTTCTGCAGGCTGGTGGGGTTCAGCTGGGTCTTATCGATGATCTTGATGGCCACCTGTCGGAGACACAAGTGGATCAGCACATGTGGGCGTCGGCCATGTTTCCCAGCAGCCTCTCTGTCTGTCTCACCTCTCGTCCCGTCGGAATGTGCCGAGCCAGCTTCACTTTGGCGAAGTTTCCCTTCCCAATGGTTTTCATCAGCCGGTAGTTCCCAACGTGAGGCGAATCGTCTCCGGTGGCCGCCGAGGAGTTTTTACAGCGAGCAGAGCGGATGGAGCGGGACACCTCGCCATGCTTGTCGTCTCCAGCGGTATGCTGGGAAAACAAAAAAACAAAGAGGTTCAAGAGAAACAACTCTTTTAATAAGTCTGTAACGTGATGAGCACGTTCAGTCAGTTCAGTGCAACACTTTTTAACAAAATCATTTAAAAAGTTAAATCAGTTTCAGGAGTGCTGCACCAAGACTGAACGTCTGTAAATAAGGTCCTTCTGGCAGGACTGCTGCATGATGGGAGTTGTAGTTGTTACAGAGTAATTACATCTGAAAGCTTCAGAAAGAACTGGAGATACACGAACGAGCTGTAACAGAGCGAACGTACAAATTTAAGACATAAACATCTAATGTTTAACATCAACCGGTTTCAGGATACCCGGAGACATGTTACCATTTATACCTCACCCGTCCTTAAAACATCTGGAAGCTCCTCAAGGATCCAGGGCCTTAAGGAAAGTTCGGGTCGCAAGCTTTACAAACAATTCACACAAAGCAACATAATTTCCAATCAAACCTCTGATTAATGTTAACACAAGCCCAGCATCACAGACGTGACGGCAGCTTGAACGATCTTTCACGTGTAAATTAAACCACGCCAGAGTTGGTTTAGAAGCCGTCTTTTCCAAGTGATCTTTGTTGTTTGGTGCAGAAAGGTTCACATGACAGCGAGCACACTTCCTCCAATAATCCACACAGAACAGTCACACCAACTGGTTTGAAGCAAACGAAACATTTAAAAGTGTGTGCACAAAACTCAAGAATACAGACTTTAACCAGCGGCGGTGAACCCCTCAGGGTGGAGTCCTTATAGAGGTTTGAAAAGACAACCTGGATCAGGTCGACTGGTCTTTAAAACAATGCTCCAGGTTGACCTGAGCACACGTGGACAGAACTAAACGTGTGAACGCTCTCAGGACATGCTGAGCTGCTCTGGGACACTCGAGTCTACTTCTTTGGTAGTCTGAACCCAAATCCATTTAGAAAAACACGGATGGACCCAGTATGGCTGGAAACAAGCAGCAGATACCATCTGCTGCTTAAAAATGATCTAAAACACAAATCTGTGGGAATAATATATTTTTGCAGCTACAAGTTTTAACGAAGTGCTGGTCGACAAATTAAAAAAGATTATTTTATTGAGTTTAACAGATTGGCGGATGACCAGAAACCTTAATGGGCGAGTTTTCTCTAAAGTTGTAATGTTTGATTGTTTTAGGAATCAAATGTAACGGCTGTAAAACCCTCTGCGTCAACCAAATCACAAGAAGCTAAGCTTTCCAAGAAAATGTTGCTTGTGCAGCGGTAGTTTTAGACGGGACAGTGAATTCACAGCTGCCGCTGTAAGAACTAAAACAGTTGGCACCTCTTTTCTAGTCTAGTTTATATAATTTTGTACGTTTTGTACACTAAAAGCAAATACCGTCTGCACAGAACTGTAATTTCTATATAAACTCACAAGTTTAGAGCTCACACACACAAAACCCGTGAGCTTCGAAATGGTTCCACCGACGTCTGAGGCGGTTCCAAGATCGCCCAGTCCCTTAAACTAACGGGTGTTTTTCTGTCTCAGTTCTGAGAAGTTCTGGACAAATCTGACAAAAGATCTTCTGGAAAACATTTCTCCTCCTATCGAAAAGATTAATTAAATTAAGTTAGTTTAAAAGTAAACTTTCCCTGTGACAATAAACTCTGTCCCCTGCTGGAACCTATTGTGTCACAGTTAGTTCCCCCAAGAAAAGCTCCCTTTAGAACCGTTCTTGTTCCTCTGGACCTGCTGCTAAACAGGGCTTGTTAAGGACCAGTTAAGTTCCAGGTTTAAGTCCTGATCCCTGAAACCTGAAAGAATTTAAAACCCCACTCAATTGCCTCCTAAGGAACCGTTCTTAATCTGGACTGGATGTGGGCCCAAAACTGGACCAGTCCAATCCTGGACCGTCCTCGACTCTTTCAAACTGCCACAGGGACCTGAAAAGAAACAACCAGCACGTGAAAACATTTGTAAATATTCCTGGAATCTCCCACTGATGATCCAGTTAATAAAAATCCAGAACACAACCGGAGATGACCGAGTCGAAGATCAAAGGTGAAACCCGTCCTCCCGGCTCACCTGTTCGGTGTCCCGCTCGTTGACAGTGGGCAGGGGGGTCCTGGTGGACATGATACCGGGGTCAGTGTGACGGAGGTCCAGTCATGAAGCCGCCCTGTCCGCTTCGGAACACCTGAACTTTGAAGGGCTGAGAGGCTGCTCGAACTTCACTTTGGTTCTTTTACGGGACCAGACTTCCACCCGGCATCACCAGCTCCTTTTTCTGACTGCACAGCCGGTGGGTTATCTGCTGGCCCGGCTTGGCTCGGCACGGCTTCTTTTCCGGAAGTTTGTAGCTGACATGGATCCAGACGGAACCGTAGCAACAGTTCCTCTTTGTAGGCTAAAGTTAGCCGCTGAGTTAGCAGCCCTACAGCACCGGGCTGAGCGCGCTCAGTTTGGGGAAAAAGCGGGTCCGGTTCCGGTTCGGCCCGTCGGCCTCCAGCTCCGGTCGGCTTGGTAAATCGTTCCCGTTCCGGTCAGCTCAACCACGGTTCTGTTAGTCCAGTTCCTGCCTCATACTCCCCGGCAGAACTCGGCTAGCCTGAACCAAGATGGTGAACTAACCCAGCCCAGTGCGTCGGCAGGATGTGACGTCAAGAACAGCGTACGATTTGATTGGCTGGTCAGGTTTAGCGGCGGCGTTTGTTGTTGCTAGGGTGACTGGAAAGAGACTGAATAAAATAAAATAAAATAAATATTGTTAAGAGCCATAACATAAAATAAATATTAAGATACATAAAATAAAATGTTTTAAAAATAAAACAAAGTGCTTAAAAATTAGACTTAAATACAACAGGAATTAGTGCCATACATCCTTAATTTTATTTCCTGGTTTTTTTGTAATGTTGTAATGGTCTTGATGAATAGTTTAAAGGTTTTCCGAATGTCATTCTTAATATTTCTTCAAACTGCTAAAGCAGCGATGCAGGTTTTATTCAGGTACATCCATCTTCTGTCCTGTGCAGCTTGGATAGATTCTTGGGTTAAACTGACATTCATGGCTGGACGGGGAGAAACAGTTCTGTAGAAATAAAAATAAAGTTTTTTTTTGTTTTTTTTTTGGTTTACTTCAGTGGCAATAAAAACGTTTTTTTAAAAAAAAAGCTTTTAAAAAATTATATATAACAAGTGTACTTTGTGTCTGCTAATAAGTCATAAAGTCAAGAGAAAAACTAAATAAAATTGGCCAGACTTAAAATCAGGGATACCCCCAAAACTTTTTAACTTTTTTTGCTTGCCTTTTTGAAGCTCAAATGTTTCTTTTTTTTAATTATATTTTCAGAAACATTTTTTGAAAGCATTTGTCCACATTAAAAAAAAACTTTTCGTCTGCAAAGGTCAGAAAGTCATAAATATTTGGACTTAAAAAAGAGACTTCCACCTAAATGTTTTTGCTTGTCCTTCAGGGCGTCTGTAGACCTCTGCTGGGACAACCTGGGAGTATCTGGAAGGATGAAATCATCTGATGAAGCCCTGCAGAAGTTCTTGAGCTGCTGCAGAAAGAGCTGCAGCTGCAGGATCTTCAGTCAGTTCAGCCTCTGACCGGCAGGGGGCAGCAGAGGAACACGCACACATTTGGCTGCTTTCACTGTCAAATCAGTTTGTTCTGGAAACCCAGATGTTCCGTTGTTTCCATCTGAGACCGAAACTACATTCTGATCAAGCTCTTCTTTTCCCTGAAGCCGTGAGGATTTTTTTCCTGGAAACAAGTGGAGACTATCCCATGGTCTCATGCCTTTTAATTCATTCAATCTTCTCACTGGTACATCTTCATCTTTAAATCACTTCTTGGTCTGCTGCCTTCATACATCTCCTCCTACATGTCTCTGCGTGAGTGCAGCTACAGAGTGCGCTCTCAGGACATCATTACCTGCAGTGTTCCCTCAGTGAGGACTGAACTAGACAAAAGGGCCTTCTCCTACTCCGCTCCTGTTTCCTGGAATATCTTGTAAAAAGACCTGAAGCTCTCGACCTTTGACCTCTCTAAGTGGCTTTAAGAATCTGTTGGACTCCTGGCAGGGTCCAATGCAGATATGTTCCTGTTTTTAGTTTTCTACATTCGCCTTAGAATCTAGTTTTGTTACTTTTCTTATTTTTAGCCATCCTATTTGTAAAAAATAAAATAAAAATTTGTATGACTTTTTATAACTGTTTATTGTTGTCATCATTCTTTGTTGAAATCAGGTCTCTCTTGTAAATGAGTCCTCGAGGCTCAATGGGATTAACCTGTAGAAATAAAGGTTGAATGAAAAAACCTTTATGTATACAGGTTAGTTTTTTGAGTCATGATGTTTGCAGATGACATTGTGATCTGTGGTGAGAACAGGGAACAGGTGGAAGAGAACTTGGAGAGGTGGAGGTATGCACTTGAAAGAAGAGGAATGGAAGTCAGTCGTAGTAAGACAGAGTCCATGTGTGTGAATGAGAGGGAGGAGGTGGAACAGTGAGGCTACAAGGAGCAGAGGTCACAAAGGAGCAGGACTTCAAGGACTTGGGGTTCACTGTCCAGGAACATGGGGAGTGTGGTAAAGAGGTGAAGAAGAGAGTCCAGGCAGGATGGAGTGATGGAGAAAAGTTTCAGGAGTGACTTGAGACAAAAGGGTGTCAGCAAAGGTCAAAGGAAAAGTTTACAAGACAGTGGTGAGACCAGCTATGTTGTATGGTCTGGAGACAGAGACATGGACAGAAAGACATGAGAAAGAACTGGAAGTGTCAGAAATGAAGATGCTGAGGTTCTTCTTAGGAGAGACAAGGATGGAGAAGATCAGGAATGAGATCATCAGAGGTACAGCACAGGTTGAACAACTGGGAGATAAAAGTTAGAGAGGACACACTGAGATGGTTTGGACATGTCCAGAGGAGGGACAGTGGTTTGGACATGTCCAG